CGAGCTAAACCAAAAACAAATCCCTCTTGTAAACCAAGAGTTTCAAAGATTTTTGATGATAGTCAAAAAAACCTTCAGTTTGTCCATCTTTTGTTTTTATTAGTTTACTAGTTATTGTCAGTATATCTTCAATAATTTTTGTATTTATTTAAATATTAATTCATCTAGATTTAAATTAAGTAGTTATTTGAACTGGAATTGATATATTTTAGAAATTTATTATGATAATATTTATAAATTATYATATGATCTTTATCATTGCTGTACAGGAGAACTAGTTGAGTTGCTTAGGGAGGGGTTGATCATTATTTACAGGGAGGGGGGCTTGTGGAAATGAGAAATGTGATGCTCAATTTTTATTGGTCCCCCCTTCATAGAGAACTCAAATTTTAGTGATTCCCCCTCCCCTCACAATAAATACAATTAATTGACAAGTGTCTAACAAAATAGGTTACAAGTATCTATTACATAATTTTTTTCAGTCCCCCTTTTTTAGTGCACAAAAATGTTTCCACCAGCTCCCCTCCCTTCCTCCCTTAGCAGAAGTTCCATATTCCATGAACCAAGTCTGCCAACCAAGGTAAGACCAAGTATACTCTGCTTGGCATAAATTCCTTATTCCATAACTCTTTATTCCTGTACTGCAATGATAAAGATTAATTTATAGTAATTTGCTATTTGGTCTGGCTTACTACAAGTGCCTATCGTCTTATAGTTTGTGCTGCCGAGGAGTGGGGCATGCGCCGGGGAATTCCCCATAGATGGAAATGCTAGAAACAAACCAGTCCCTAGTCATCATGAAATGAGAGGATGCCATTGATGGTTAGATTTGAACCCCAAGTCCAAATGGAAGGTAGGGTTTTATTATCAGTATACATAATAAAACAGAAAATTGACAAATATAAAAAACTCAACCTACAATGAAATGATAAATGGCACAATTGCACTTGTCTATGGTAGCAATTTCTAGATGTTACTGAAAATAGGATTAGCGCATGCGCAAGGTGTGATCAACGGTCAGAGTTTTGTTCTCGTAGTACAAGTACAGAGTCAATATCGTACTTAATTGAATGAGTGAATCAATCTGTGGTTCCACATCATACTTCTATTAGGAGTCATCCATAAATCATAATGACGGGAATCATTTGATTGACACACCCTATATAATGATTGACAAGTGAGCAATAACATAAGTGCTTCCTCGTAAATCAGGGATTTAACTTGAAACAAAGATTACTAAAAGATAAGGTTTTAATCGAGGTTTTTAAATAAATATTTAAAAGAAGTATAAAGTCTTCAATAATGTTTCTATGTTTTTCTTGTCTATTTGTGTGGAGGAGGGCGGGGCTCACAACCCCGGCGTGCGGTCGGCGTCCTAGTAGGACCCCTCCTAGCTGTTGACCACCATGCTGACCCATTGCACTTCCCGGGTCAATCACTGGTGAGATGGCCAAAACAAAAAGACTATGTACATTTTGTGTGTCTTAACATGCTGTGGAATAAACACATGCAGGCTGGAAAGAAGGGAAATGGAAGAGCAGCAACATGTAGAATAATAAGTATGGCTTGCAAAAATTAAAACAGCCGCTATGAGCTAGCAATGACAGCAGTGTGCAACTCAACCAGAATCTAGGCAGTCGATACAAGACTTCACCTTAYGTTAGAAATGTCAAGATAAAATTTCACACATCCCACATGGAAGAGCCCGAAATACGTTTTGATATGCGCCGCATGCTCAATTCCCAAGAGATTTGAATTATTGATTATTTTTACCGCCGCGCTTCATATTTCCCACACGGACTAATAGATTGGAAAGATAAAGGTAGTTGCCTCACTTCCACGCAACCCGTGGAAATGCATTGACCAAGATAATGTTCTTGAGTTCCTTATTTTATTGATATTGAGGTTCTCAAATGAATATGCATCTAAAATGTTAAAAAAATAGAAAGTAACAATGTTATCACAAAACACCTTTTGGCTTACTATGGTTTGTGTTAGGGTTAACCTTAACGCTAACAACCTTAACCCTAATTTCAAAAATATCAAAAGTTAGGGTTAGAACCCTAGCAATAATTTTAGCCAAGTCAAAAATCGTGTTAGGGTTAGGGTTAGTGTTTTGAGCGTTAGGGTTAGGGTTAACGTTAACCCTAACCCTAACCCTAACGCTCAAAACACTAACCCTAACCCTAACACGATTTTTGATTTTTATTTTCTCATTTTTATTTTTTTATTCTTAACTCTTTATTTTTTTAAAGAAAAAATACTTTTTATTTTTTATTCTTTCAAAGGGGGTACCTTTGATCCGACCCTTTAAGAAACTAATTAAGAATCTTAGATATATACTAAGTGTTCAAGTTTTATAGAAGACACTCTAGAATGTCTTTGATTAGAAGTCGAATTTTGTCTCAAATTTCCCTGCCTCCATTGTCCATCTCCTGCCTCCTCATGGAGATGCCTCTCTTCTCTATCTTTTAATCACAACTGTCCATGTGGGATGTACAACAATTGTATAAAACCGCAATTTACGCATGTACAAGCCTTTACAATATTCTACAAAACCCGCCTTTACCACACTAACACTCTCCGCTCACTTTCTGGACCGGACATGTAATGGAAGCACATTTTGAATACCAAGCAAACTTCTTGAATTCGTATCTTTGAGAAGCGGAAAACCCATATAGGATCCTCCGCATCRCCTCCTACCTCCMTGAAAGCTTCCGATTCAACTACCAGTATAATACCAACCTMACAGCTCATGTGGGATCCACTTTTACTTTGCCTTTCTTTACTCGTGCTCGAGCGCAATTGATGCTCATTTGCATTTTGAAAACGTGAAACGTCCACTGTTTTTTACAAATATTTCAAATCCCAAGGGAATTAGAACGACAACTATAATATGACTAATTCCAAGCTGTTCAATGTGGGACGCGCGGTCTTCTGTATCCCATACTGTTAACCAGCGCGCATYTTAATACTCTAATATCACTGGAATGCTAGTAAAGAGAAGTAGAATATTTAACAGCAATAACTACATTCGACAGCGCGCATCTATGAAAGGACGATGGTGCGCAATTACATCGAACGATGTGAACATTTCCCGGTACAGTTCCCATGATATCGTACAAATTACTGCTTTATTTGACGTATACTGGATAGGATGCCACTCACTTACATGAAAAAAATGTAGATCAGAGGAAAAATGTTTAATCCCAATGCTTCAGTCACATGGGAGACTGTGTGGCCAAGACGTAAGCTAAAGCTAAATAAAAATCAAATGCGTCAATCAAACATATTTCTTTTTCACTTGTTTTTGAATAATTAATTGAGAAGATAAAAACGTATTCTTTCTTCTTGATGGCTGTCACATCAAAAACAGCAAATATTCATAACCAATATGAAATACCATGCGCACCGTGAAATTTCTACGTCTTAAAATCTTTTCATAGTTTGTTGATCKAAGTATTATGATCATCCGGTGGATGTAGTCATGAGAAAGAATGTTTGATGTGACTGACCTTTCGACTACYTGAGCGGAAGTCATCTTCAGAGTACRTATAATGATTAAATTTTAATGATTTTAAGAACTTGCAAACGTTTGCAATAACTGAGAGCGCCTTTCGATGTGGGATACATGCRAATATACTAACGCATGCGCAAACAATTCTCATCCTCACTGCCGTCATCGTTACAGTGTATATTACAGAGATTAAAATTCATTTTTTCAAAAATCTGCACGCAAGGAAAAGATCTTTTCAAATTTATGCGTTTTTGTTCATTTTAAGTGTGAACGCAAGACTACGACGCTTGGGAAGATATGCGCTTGTGATGTGTTACTTCATCAAAATTACGTAGCAGTGTTTGTTTGGAAACTCCTTCTACACCATGTGGCTCTCGCTTTATCATCTTAAAATAAGGACTGATTTATGTTCTCATAAACATGGGACGTTTTTTACAGACCCGAAAACGCAGTACAGTTGGATAGTTGCATAAATAATATATACATTTCCTATTTTGAAATAGTCTTTATTGTGTCTTTATTGTGTCTTTATTGTATAATTAGGAAACATGTAGAATGGCTTTGCACCATCACATAATGGCAGCCATGACGGGAGGCACAACAATAGTATTTTACCCCTGCAAAACTGAATTCTTTCTTATGTAAACCAGATTCGACAAGATTCAATTGTTCCTGCCTCCTGTCATGGCTGCCATCGCGTGATGGTGCAATGCAATACGACGGTTTGCCATTAGTATGTGAATATGATTTAGCCACTTGGTAAAACATTTTCTGCTTTCATAAAAATCACTGTATGCATAAAGAATAATAAATATTAGATATTAAGTAAACACCCCCTCCTTCCCATAATGCCTCAATATACACATTGCATTCCATTTGTTCCTTCTTAATAAAGATTTTCTTCTTAATCCTCATATATCACAACATATATCTAATAACTTATTCCATAATTCTAATCATACAATTCACTTTGCTCACCAGATCGCCAATGGCCCAATTTGAAGTGGAGATAGGATTATACTCAAGTGTCGAAGTAGGGTGGTTTCAACGTCARAAGAGGGCGAACCTTTTCCATTCAAAAATTCTTTTATCAGGAAATATTAGTGACGATCATGAAGTTATCGACTTGACGCAAGTACTGACTAAAACTTGCCCGATCTTTTTTCAACGAAAAAAGTACATTTTCTAGCGATGAGAAATTGGTTGTTATTTGGTGCTCATTAAAYTAAACTGGCTACTTAATTCCCTCATGACCTCTTTGTGCGCCATGCCAGTTTTCTTTACTTTGCCGTAATTGTCTTTGACGAACTGGGCAAATCTGTTAGGTGTTCTTGCTGACTGGGGAGTGCCATCTTTCTTTAGCTGGGGCTGGAGCTCGAAGCGACTGAGTAAAGATTGAAAAAAGAAGAAAYATTTTATGACGAGAACTTTTGTGGTGATTCGACTTGTTGTTGCTGCTAATAATGATTAACATATACCAACTTATGTACTTCCTAAGAACGTGCGCGCTCAYTGGTTAATTGAAGGTGAATATTGTACGATATTTACCTTTGAATCTCGGAATATTGAGTTGGCAACAAAATGGCATCTGCCAGCAATCGTTTTGCTACAATTTTCGATGAAGTAATTGGAAAAAAATGAAAGTAAATGCCATTCCTATCAATACTAAAAAGGCAACCAAGTATGGCCTAAAGTTTTCGCTAAAAGTTTTGCTAAAAGTTTTGCGTGACAAATTCACGCAAACTAAAAGTTTCTGTTTGTTTGTTCTCATTGAATTGTTGTATATAAAAATAAGTTATTCTGTACACAAGTTGGTAAATGCTAAAACAATTATTCGCCTCAGGCTCAGTGAATATCGAGAATATTTACCTCGCCGCTCGAAGACTCGCGTCTCGGTAAATATTCCCCGATATTCACTAATAATTGCTAATCATACATGATAATGGTGATGATACATGATGATGATACATGGTGATTA